CTGTGATATACCCACCTATATTACTGTCCTTTGTCGACAGATATTTTAAAACGATTACCTTGTTTTCATGGCTGTAATATTGCCGACGCGATGTAAAATTTTAAATCACTCACTCATTAATGAGTTGGCTATTGAGATTGAACTCTGGTCCAACTTTACCAAGATATCACACAACTGTTTCTTTGTTATTTCCAGACGACTTTATCCTTATCCCAGATAGTATTGGAGGTCTACAAAAGCGTATCAACGTATTGGAAAGGTTCTGTATAGCGAATGGGTTAGATATTAAATTAGATAGAACTAAGGTAATGGTCTTTAGAAAAGGTGGAACTTTTTCAAGTAAAGAAAGGTGATCATACAAAGGTGTGAAATTAGACTGTGTGTCTTTTTATAAATATTTAGGTGTCACTTTTACTAGATGTTTACCTTGGTCTAGACACTTTTCTAATGCTGTTTGCTATCTTAAAGTCGGCGGAAAAAGATTAATTGTTAAGGTATAAGTTATACTTTAAAATATTTGATATGAAAACAGTCCCAATCCTACTTTATGATGCAGAAGTTTGGGGTCTGCATCAAAATGATGATATGAAAATAGTACACACGCTGGCTTGCAGGCGTTCTCTTGGAGTTAAATCTTCCACACATAATCATATTGCCAGATGTAATTGTCTTCGCTACCCTTTGTATATTTATGCATATCAGCGAGTTATAAGTAATGTATACTTATTATGTATGTCAGACAATCGCTACCCAAGGAAGTCAAACAATATGTTAATGCAGGCAGCTAGTTTTGGTAAATCTAACTGGGCATCCAAATGTAAGTCGCTATTGTTTAGTATAGATTTTGGTTATATCTGGGAACAACAGTACGGAGGCCACCCTAAATGTTTCATATCTGAATTATTATCTGGTCTGAAATATATACATGAACAAGACTGGCATAGTCTGCTTAAAAACTGCAACAAAACTTTATCCTACTCCTTTTTAAAGTTAATTTGGTACAGAACTGTACCTTAGTTACTGTATGTAGCTTATAAAGGAAAGGGGTTGCTCTCACTCAATCATGATGTTTCTCACATCAGTTAAGTATTCAGACCAGAAGGTATATCAATACTGAAAGAAATACAGGACAATGTTGTGTGTGCCACAAAGGATATGTGGAAGACGAGTACCACTTTCTCTTAATATGCCCTTTTTATGGTGAGTGAGTGAGTGAGTTAAGAGTTTTAGTCACATCGGCAGTATTTCAGCCGTATCGTGACTAACTCATGTTAGAGATTTATTATAATTGAAAGTAAATTTTAAAGACCTGTCGACGAAGGATAGTAAAACAACTAGATTATCACAGATATAATTTAAATCTAGTAATTAAATCTAAAACATGTTATCAATGGATGGCAATACAATATATACTAAGCAGCAAATGAAACGTCAGTTAGGAATTTTCCTTCGCAGAAACGGATAACTGTAAACTCATTTAATGTTTTGATTGTATATTTTTGACAACATCTCCAACTTTACCTGAGCAAAGAAATTCCTTCCCAAACTCAGAATGGAACCCAGGAAATGGTCTCAAAAACGCAACCTGATCTCGGAGATGGTACGGTGTTCTCCATGTTTTTCATGCAACTCATGCTGCACGTGCTGTTCACAAAGACCAGCCCTATAAAATGCACCCCCAAACCTGGTTGAAACATTCACATTACAACGTCAGCAGGACGCCGCGACTCACGACAGCTCAGAGGAACCAGGCGCTAGGAAGACTTGAAGCTGGCCACACTGCACAAGCCGTTGCCAATCACTTCCAGGTCAACGTTCGGACCATCTACAGGCTGCAACAACGTTTCCGGGCCACCAACACCACAAATGATGCCCCCGTACTGGCAGACCAAGGGTAACCATAGACCACAAGACTGCCATGTAGTGCGACAGCATGTACAGCATGTACACGCCAGACAGTGGGAACACATGGAAGACCAATCAGTCCTGATACAGTACGCCTACGTCTTAACAAGGGGAACCTCCATTGCCGTAGACCTTACCATGGACCTATCCTCACCCCTCGTCATCGGCGTGAACGTTTACAGTTTGCCCTACAACACCAAACCTGGCGATACAGGCAATGGAGAACTGTTCTGTTCACAGCTGAGAGTCGGTACTGCGTATCAACTGCAGATGGCAGAACAAGAATATGGCGACGACGTGGCCAGCGTTACTCAGACCAATGTGTTATGGAAAGAGACTCATGGGGAGGTGCAAGCATCATGGTATGGGGTGGAATAGGCCTGAACCTGAGAGTGGGTCATGTGGTGTTCCAGAACATTGGTCCAGGGAGAGGAGTTGGCATCACAGCGGTGCGCTACATCGACCAAGCTCTCAGACCCCACGTCATACCACATTTTGCACGTCACTGGAACAACATTTTCCAGCATGATAACGCCCGGGCCCATACTGCCAGAGCTACACGGGACTTCCTACAGCAGAACGGTGTCAACATTATGCAGTGGCCAGCCCTTAGTCCTGATTTAAACCCAAATGAACATCTTTGGGATGAAAATCAGAGGAGACTGAATAATGTCATACCAAGGCCGAACACAGCCGATTTATTGCGCCAGGCCGTTCTCAGAGTGTGGTTCCAGATGCCAATGGCCTTCATCAATCGATTGGTGCACTCCATGCATAGACGCTGTGCTGCAGTTATTGCCGCTCGTGGTGGTCACACTAGATATTGAAGTCAAGGGTCTGAATGGACTGCAAACGTTTACGTAATGTCTTGAAATTGTACTGAGTCAAGATATTGTACACAAAAAATGTTTTGATCCGCTTATTATGCCCATTTCTGTAATGATTTGATTACAGTGCCTATCTAATTTTGAATTCGTACTGACGTTTCTTTTGCTGCTGAGTATATAAACAGACTATAGATTGCCAACAACTGAAGGTAGATCACCATACTAGGGACCATGGGGAGTAACAGGACATTTGCTTCCTGCCTGGACCCTAGTTAGATTTACACAATCCCTTCAGATGTTAGCAATGTTTGACAATTTAGCCATAAATTAAAATAACATATATACTGCGGTTAAAATAGTAGTATGTTTAAATTTACTTTAATTGTTTGGGGACTTACGTAGCCTCTCAGGACAATAATTTTACAATACTTTAACCCCTTCGAGGATACAGTCACTAACAATATTAGTTATTAAGTTAAACTACCAATCATAAAACATTTATCTATTTTCATAACGTTAATCGAAATGTATCTAACAGCTATATTTCTTTTAAAAATGAAACGATTATATTTGATTTTTTTTACAAGGGGGTAAGCGCAATAGTTGGAGCTGTACGTGATGAGCGTTAACTCAGACCAACCCCACTTGTTCTCTGTGTCTCATTTAATGTGCATTCCCCCTAATACAAACCAATAATAGCGATTTGAAGCTATGATCGTTTGTTAAACAACTTTTATCCTAAGTTGAATAAAATTCTGAGATTTATATGTTCAGTTGGCAAGGTAAAATTATGAGGATTCGCAATCTTCATTTCACTTTATTTGATTTACGTTTTTGTTTAAAGTGAAATTCATCGGTACGTTTTCACTGCAAACAGACTATAATAGCCAGTGAAAATTATAAACCCACAAGGTATTATTTATATCCTTCTCAATTTAAGTTTAATATCCTTATGTCAACCAACGGCTGTACCCTAATTAAGAAATCTTGCAATGTATATTTACCATGCAATGTCAGTAGGTAGACACTAACTTGAAGTCAACATTCGATTGAATTATAACACCAGTCTATCACGTGTACATACACAAATGTGGTTTTGGGCAGATGGCCTACACTAACGGAATAAAAGAATTGAATATAAAATCGTTGATGAAAGAGCGAAACACATTCCAACAAAGGGTGCTTGACAGTAAAAGGACTGTGACACGGAATACATTGAGGGGTCCTCTCCCTTCAATAAAAATGAATGAGTATAATGAGAGTGTCTAATGCGATATCTTTAGATCACCACTTCATCTTGTCGATTTAGATCAGAAAGGCCATGGTCGCCTGTCAAGGGTTTATGGCATGAAACTTATTGGATACTTATTTGTTCCATTTTTGCTGCCAACTGTTTTGACACATTGCCAAATAGCAGGTTTTAGATCAGTGTATGGAAATTTACTGCTTGACTTTGACTTCTCAAGAGCAGTTTTAAGTGCGAAATCTGAATTTCCCACAATACCAACGTGACTGGATAGCCAACAAAAAAGGATTTAGCCACAGACAGATTCAAATGCCATTCAGAATTTCAAACAAAAAGGCATGGTCAGTTTTACGGTTTTTGATTGCCTGAAGACAGGATAAGCTATCTGAAAATATGATAAATCTGGTTTTTGCAAGGCTGATAGAATATCCTTAGCCTCTGCCGTACGGAACTTCCATGAGTTAATCGCAGTGATAAAGCGTCATCACGAATAATAGCTGCAGCATAAGGTAAAATATCTGTATCTAATATTTATTAATAAATTAGCTTGTCATCAGGAATTCGTACATGTAGGTCCCAAAATCCCCAACTACTTGTCATAAAAGATAAGTCTAATTAAAGGGTGTGGTAAATTGGTATATAATAACGGGTGCCAAAGTTCACAAAACCAGTCTAGAATTATTAAAATAGGCATAAATATTTACGAATGTGTGCAAGCCAGCTTAACACTTCCTATCACCTGCTTCTAGATAACAGGAAATAATTTTGATGGATGTTTTCTGAAGGATGACAAACATATCAGGTCCAAAAGTTATTGATATTGTTTCAGAGATATTTAGTAAACAGTGAAGGTAAACCAGCCAAATCAGTAAGTGTCAAGGATGGTTAAATATGCAGCAACAGTTAAATTTCTAAAAACGTCTTCGCGTTTTACTACTTAATCAATAAAGGCGACAATGCAAACGTATTCTCTAACCTAGATTGAGAATGGTAATCAGTCGAGTTGGCACAGTCATGTTAACATGAACCATAATGACCATAATAGTTTCTTTCAGTGTGACTGGGAGTCAGCGCCATGTGGACAAGATGACTTCATCTACCTGGACACTGACATGGGGAAATGTTTCACATATAACGGTAATTTATATTGTCATGGAGAGATCCAAATCATGCAACTCACTAGCGAGTGTTACCGCCACGTATTTGGATAAAATCATTTCTTTGAGTCTGAATTCACTTGCACAAAATGTTTGGGACATTCCTGGACGCCGTGGCGTCTAATGGACTCACCAGTGAAGAAACTGGCATCTTTACTGGCTGCATTGATCGTGCGTACGCCACAGTCAGGAACTACTTACCAGTCTTGACGAGCTTGGCGCTGCCCTGAAGGAAGAGTGGGATGGAATGAACCCAGCTGACATTGTACCTGTGATTAGGAGTATGCCTCGATATTGGTTGTCTTGAGAGTAGATATCGTGCAATATCAATGAGTTTGACATGCCATGGTAAATGAAATGATGGGTGTCAGGGCGCTTTCGACAATCACTTGACAAATCTTATGGTTATCTGATGTTCAACATCTAAGTCCGTTACTCAATGTTACACTCTCATTTATGTGTGAGTGAGTGAGTGAGTTTAGTTTTACGCCCCATTCAGCAATATTCCAGCTATATGGCGGCGGTCTGTAAATAATAGGGTTTTGAGCAGACAATCCAGTGATCAACAACATGAGCATCGATCTGCGCAACTGGGATCCGATGACATGTGTCAACCAAGCCAGCCAAGCCTGACCACCCGATCGCCTCTTACGACAAGCATGGGTTACTGAAGGTTCATTCTAGCCCGGACCTTCACGGGTTCATTTATGATATAAGATATGAATACATTTTTTCAAAAAGCTTTCATTATATATCCCGTATTTGTTGTAATAGTGTATATATGGATAATCAATTAATAAAAGCTGGAACCACAATCAATGTTGCGAATGAAACAATATTCTATCATGACCTTGAAGAGTGTTACTCTGGCTAAAATAAGAAAACAATGAGGTGTATTATTCCATTCGATCCCACAAAATTTAACGTGCCCATCACCTGTTAATCACCTAACAATAGCTGTTAGGTTTATTACCTTCAAAACTTGAAAACTGTTTTAGAAAACGCATAATTTAGTGAAAACAAGCATTGATCATAATGCCAGGTTAATAAAATATTGGTCATATCTCTTCGTGTTCATTCAGGGTTTCATATTCCACTTTCTTCCCAGGCAGGTATGGAAAATGGCTCACTCTCTCCTCCTCTGACCCCATGACGTGCAGACTTAGGGATGTACACTTACTTGATGCTGACATCAACACGCTGAAGATTTTATTTTCAGAAAATAATTTTGAAATTTCATATATGCTTATCAAAGAATCTGCCTTCAGCCATCAAAATATGTAGTGAAAGGGTGGTTGGACATTAACTATAAGACACATGTTTATTCTAGTAGTAAATTCCAAGGTTAACCTTTGTCATCACCAGGCTCTCGCCAGACAGCCATAGCCGTTACAGTCCTGTCACTCATGGGCAGATAACATCTACACAGTTGAGAAGTAGCCAATGGAAGACTAATTGGAAACCGGCCGAACAGTTTGCACTCTGGCCTTCGGCCTTTAAAGAGATACTTTTAGAGGGGTATTTAAAACAAATTATTGTTTTTTAAATTAGTAGAATGTCCCTTTTGTACGCGCTTGATGTTATCAAGTGACATAATGTTTACTCTTGTAAAATGCACATACATGCTTTCTGCTTCAGCTAATGGTTCCCTGCTTGCTCGTAATTCCGGACGTGCCCATGGTCTGCGCCTCTTGCTTAATGTCCAGGAAGAGGAATATATTCGGAGTCATGATGGATACCTTGGAACAGGGTTTATGGTGAGTGTGATGGAAAAGTTTCTAAAATTTGAATAATGATTGATACCATTTGGAACAGGGTTTAGTCCTGGTCGTACCCCTACGATTAGTGCACATGCGACGACGAGCAGACACACAAAAATCAATTTTGGATCTGGGAATGGATGCAGCTCAATCATTGGTCTGTGGAATGTTGAATATATTACACTCTTAAAAAAACAAACAGAAACGCATAGGTGATTTCGAGAATATAGGACTCATGTAGTTGCGGTAAAAACAATACAAATGTACTAGTCCTTTCCAAAACGTCATCTTTGAGTGATTGTAAACAGCTGTCCAGAACTTGAACCCTCGACAGTGAGAATCGCGCTTTCGTCATCACCGGCGAGATGGAAACATGTTTACCGTCAGAAATGAACGTTTTGCCCCTAATTGCATTCGACAGGTCCCTCAAGCACACAAAGATTTGATTTAGTGGTGGTTCAGGGGACTTTGACAGCAATTAAGTCCTGCACGTTGCTTCGTACCGACAGATGGGAGTTGTTCCAGCATAACAACGACTTCACATAAAGCACGCGTCACGGTGCTACCTTGCCAACTAACGAGCAGACTTTCCCGATCACCAGATCTAAACCCGATAGAACACCAAGTCTTTGGATCTGGGAACTGGCCATCGCATGCAGCTCAATCACTTATCCAGTCTGCCGAGAAGGTGGCCAATGTGGCCATACAAAGTACTGACTTGTGGACTACCCCATAAAACACAACAATAAAGGCTGCTGTTGTGATGGCGAACTCTATAGACGTGTGAATTATCACCTTTTACCTTACATGAAATAATTGCACTTAAACTAACGCAATAAATTCTTCTAAAAATGGCTTATGCGTTTCATTTTTAAAGAGTGTATTATGAACCCGCTCAGTTTCACAGATTCAGCTATAAGCATGATCTATAAGCATTCGATATCACTACAGGGAAACTGCTGCCGCAATATACAGTTATTAACAAGATATATGCTCTCTCCTGATATCATTTATCACATGTAGTATTCCTATGTATGATCATGGTATTTCTAGTGGTAATTTCTGTTTGTTCTGACCTGAAGGTGGCTGTTCACGCTCCGGAGGTGATCCCAATCATGTCTCAGATGGGAATGGCAGTAGGTCCCGGATTCCAGCACTTCGTAGGTATAGGAGTGAAGGTCAGTTTCATCCCTAACAGTCGCAAAATGATTTATTTGTCAGTGAGTCAATCGCACTAAACGGGCACTTTGGGTATATTTTCAGCCACGTACATCCATTGTCGTCCTTGCTATCTCGTCTATGATTAACAGAAGAAATTAAGAATTAGGAAAATTTAACCACAAACTATCTTCCAAAGATGACACTTGCAACAATTACAAAAGGCGATAGTCGGTAATGTATGAACATTGAGGTATACTTGTCATTTATTCGAAAATATGATATTGTATTTTTGTAGTTTGGTTCCAAGTTAATTTTAGCGAGGATCCATTTAAAAGTTCAATCTCTATGTTCAAACACAGTCGGAAAACTACAGCCGTATACAAATTTCACGTTCACAGAAACCCTTCATCATTGAATTTGCAGCAGACAAACATTAGACAAACATTTTAATAAGTTAGAATACAGCACATTTGTCTGTCGTAAAAAAGCAACGAAACCGATGCAATTGTATGAAAACAATATTATTTACGAATCACTGGTTTTGGTTACTGACAGTGGTTAGGAGTGTTCATGCCAAGGAACCGTATCCTTTCTTCACATGCTTACTGGCAAACAAGGATAAGTTGAGCACCGACCTGACAATTGACCGCTCACTGGCGCTTGCCATTGTTAGCGAAAGGGCCCCAGGTTGTCCGCGATCAAGTGTAGTGCGACTTGCAACACCGACGTGAGAGTCTTATGAGCAAGGCGTGGCAGCTACGCGCGGAATCAATTTCATCGTCATGCAATGCAAGTACACTAGCCTACATCTGCTCTTCCTTTCACAAACCAAATGGGTTTGTTCACTGCCGTGCACTGCCTACTTCTCGTAAACGCGTTCTCTGCGCCAGTCCAACTTATCCTTGTTTGACGGTACGATGTTTGAAGCTACTATCTTGTGTCGCCTACTGTGGTAATTCTTGAATGTTGCTAAAATGGGCGTAGATCACCGCAGTCACTCACCCGACGCCTTACGAGCTGCAGTGATACTAAAGTCCGTTTGGCCCAAAATCGGACCGATGAATTGCAATCTAAATCGAAAACTACTAAACATATAATACTCAATGAAACACTGATCATTATCAAAGCATCAGACCAATCTGTGATTTTTGGCAGAATGTAAGTCCTAAAAATACAAGAGTTGTTTAACAAACTATCATTTTCACACAGTTCACTATTTGTTACGAGGGATGGGTGCAAAGAGAGGAACAGCCAGGTGTGCGAGAAAGGATGGAGAAAGCACGGCACAGGTAAATGATTCAATAACTTTGTCGAGACTTGTGCATTTGCTCAACGTACACCTGGATATTCCTCTCTTTGCAGTCCTCCCTCGTAACAAATAGTGAACTGTGTCAAAATTTTAATGATAGTTTGATCAGAAATTGCTCAGACTTATGAAGTTTCACAGAAACAGTTACACAGTGTGTGAGAAACACAACTTGTGAATGCAGTGAGAACACAGAAAACGTACACTGAAACTACGGGTTATAGATCTGGAGGTGGTATAATACATTCACACATACAAGAGAAACCAAATGGTGTCACAAATGTGGCTACAAACATTTCAGTGAAGGTCAATGTCCAGCTGAAAACAGCGAGTGCAGATAGTGTGGAAATCTTGGTCATTATGCTGTGATGTGCCGATCTATACTGAAACCTAAACAAGTTTTTAGAGGAAGAAACAGAGGAAACAGAAGAAGTAGAGGATCGAGTCGACAAGTATTTTACGCTGAAGAAGAGTGAGTGAGTATGGTTTTACGCCGCTTTTAGAAATATTCCAGCAATATCACGGCGGGGGACATCAGAAATGTGCTTCACACATTGTGCCCATGTGGGGATTCGAACCCGTGTCTTTGGCGTGACGAGCGGACGCTTTTACCACCAGGCTACCCCACCGCCCCCTTTGAAGAAGAACTAAGTGACAGAGAAAACGAGGAACATTTCCTGGGCATGATTGGTTTAATTGATGATCCTCAAGATGAGTCGAAGTGGCAACAGTACTTAAATGTGAACAATCACAAAGTGACATTTCAGTTAGACACTGGTGCAAAATGTAATGTTATGCCAAAAAAATGTTCAGATAGTCTCACACATGGTAGAAGATCTACCAGGGATTGAAGCAATCATGGTTGACGATATTCTAGTTAGGGGAGTAGACGAAGATGAACATAATCAAAGGCTTTTTACATTGCTTCAGCGAGGGAGAGAGTTATATCTGAAATTGAACAGACAAAAGTGTCAGTTCAGAGTTGACAGAGTGCAGTATGTGGGACATAAGATAACCAGTGAGGGTTTGAAATTCAATCATGATAAAGTGAGAGCTGTACTTGAAATGGAAAGTCCGAAAGATCTCAAAGAACTGAAAACATTTCTTGGTTTCTTACCGTATCTTGGAAAATTTCTTCCAAACACTCGGATGTCTGCTTACCGTTGAGACAACTTACTACCAAAGATGTTGAGTGGCACTGGGACAGTGAACCGGAAAGTAGCTTACAGAAATAGAAAACTAAGGCTATTCAGGCTCCAGTGTTGGTATTTTATGATCCAAAGCTACCATTTACCTTGTCAGTTGATGCTAGCTCCCCATGTCTTGGTGCAGTTATCATGCAGCAAGGTACGCATACCGAGTTCTTACAGACCCACAGACCAGATTAGCACAGATCAAAACATAAATGCTTGCAATATGCTTCGGATGTCAGAAGTTTTATCAGTATGTGTACATGAGACAGGTAGATGTCGAAACAGATCACAAGGCATTGCAAGCCATCTTTTCGAACATATTGCATGATACACCTCTCTGATTACAGAAAATGTTGATGGCATTACAACGATATGATCATAGAGTTCAGTACAGACCTTGAAAAGAACTTTTAATAGAAGATCACCTTAGCAGATCCTATCTGAGGGATGTTGAAACTCTAGACTTACCTGAGACTGCAGTGAATCTTATTGCGGACTGGCCAGTTTCAGAAGGAAAGTTACAAGAGCTTCAGAAAGCCACATCGGAATATGAAGTTTAGCGTGATATGACAGACTGTGTGAAAAAGGGTTGGCCAAGTTTACCGACAGAAGCAGATGTCCAAACAGACAGTATTGACATATAGAGAAGAGATTACAAGTGTTGACGGACCTTTGTTCAAGAATCATAAGCTCGTTGTGCCAAACAGTCTTAGAAAAGAGATGCTTTCGAGGATACACGAATCTCATCCTGAAATGGTCAAGTGCATAAGTAGAGCACATGAGACATTGTTTTGGCCTGGTATGGCTAGTGATACGGAGAAAGTGGTTTCTCAGTGTGACATTTGTGCCAAATATCAGAACTTTAATCTAGCAGAACAGTTGATCTCATCAGAAGTACCAGGCAGATCATGGGCCATAATTCATATCTACTGACAGTAGATTACTTCACTGAATGGCCTGAGATGTCTTTGTTGGAACATACACCCAGCAAGAGAGTTATTGGTCACCTAAAAGCCAATTTGCTAAATATGGCTTGCCTGAGGCTGTTATCAGTGACAATGGACCTCAGTACAGCAGTGCAGAATTTAGACAGTTTGCCGAGGACTGTAATTTCAATCATGTAATCTCATGCCCGAGGTTTCCCCAATCCAATGATCAGGCTGAAAGGATTGAATACTTACACTGAAGAATGCTACAGATCCACACAAAGGTATTCTTGACTACAGAAACTCTCCTACTGAAGGGATAGGAAAGTCACCTGCTCAAATGTTATGGGGAGAAGGTTGCGTTCTTCTTAGTTGCCGCACCCCTTCTCAGATCTGAAGGTTCAGTCAGAGACAGACACTCATTGATTAACAGACATTCTACTCAGCAGAAATATCATAGTGGTCAGAAAGACTTGACTCAAAAGTTAGAGTCTGGAAGTAGTGTTGTGATGAAAGAGGACAGTATTTAGATCCCAGCAGAAGTAGTGAATAAACACGCTACTCCAGATTGGACATTGTGAAGACGCAGACAGGTCGCACTTACGGAAGAAATCGACATGACCTAAAAGCGTTTCATGGTATCCATGGCAACTCGCAAAGCTCTCCTAGCTACAAAGATGCTGATGTTGTGTTTCCCAGAAGAGCACCTTACAGTGCTCCCATTGTGCCATTTCCAAAGACTCCATAGGCAGATGCAAGTCAGACTGGTACAAATAAACAAGAGGCTATCACACCGACAGTCAAGCTACCAACAGAGCAACAAGTTTTCGAGAAGTGGCGAGGCCGTCCAGATTAATTGACTATGAATGGCTGTAATTGGATCTGAATTTAAATGATATTGTTTCATTTTATTGAATATTGTCAGTGCAGTTAAATGATGCGATTCGCAATTTCTTGAAATACACACCAATTGAAATTTTATCAAGCGAACATGTTGAAGAAATCAACTTCAATTGTAATTGTGGATTTTGTGTTCAGTGAAATATGTTGCTGGTATCCTTATAGTAATTGTGATAAATGAGAACAATGTTATTTCTGTACCAAGAGACTTTCATCCATACCATGGTTGTTTCAAAGAATTTTGAAGTTTTATGTTTTAGTTATGATATAGGTTTATTGTTAGACTTTTGTTAAATTTGTATCTTTAAAGGAAACGGGATGTTATGTATGAGTCATCATCCATACGGTATGAGCGCTTCTTTATGTAGTGGAACAGCGCATGCGTATTCAGAAGACTTCCGCCATGCTTGATGTCAACTGCCAGATCTAACAGCTGTGCCGTCAAATGCGCGACGACACATAATTCCCAGTTTTTCTTGTGTGTTTTCAATCAAGTGGCTCACTTCGCAATCCAGGATCTGGTGTATTGTTTATCACTGATTTATTAGTTTATCATGGCAGAATTGCAAAATGGTAAGTTATCTCCCTTGTTTCGGGATACAGTTGTCAGCTTGTCAGGGTATTTATACTTACACGTAAAAACATGAACGCCGACGACCGCTGATCTGTGTTTGGAGATGAAGCGTTACTAAGTTGGGTTTGGAAAACAATTCCTTTACACTAACTGCTCAAATAAAAGAAAATATGTGTGTTCATTGTATTGCAGAATGCACATTTGATACCGAAAGTGGCACATTTACTATCTATAGCACTGGCATATTAGGAAATCGTCTTCACAGTTTCATATTTACGCATACTTATGGGTATTTGACTTTTACAAGTACCAGCAGGCAGCAGGAATTCCAAGCGATAAGGACTAAGCCACTACCGTCGAACTACTGTACTAAAAATGTAGACTGTAATGTAAGGTGTAATGACTCCACTGATACAAGACTTGCAATTGTAGCTATACAATGGACAACTGACAATTGTGAAAACGAGTACACAACTTTGCACATGAATTTGTAACAGAATTCTCCTTTTGAGAACTATAATTCACAATATCCGATATCAGATGTCAGTGATGATGTTTTTTTCTGTATAATGACAGGAGGTGACAGCACATGAAGGTGTAGCCGGCTGTGGCGACAGGCCTCTGAAGTATATCACTAGAAACTATTCTCGGGAGGCGTGCAAAGATGACTGCGAGTTGGATTTCATCATCAGCATATGCAACTGCAATGACTTTACAAACAAAAGCCTCGACATTGCAGTTTGCACTCCTCAACAGTACCAGGAATGTTTCCTACCAGCTAAAGCTAGATATCTGCAGATAGACACTGGCTGTGAAGCTGGATGTCCTGAGCCATGCAGCTACACCAGGTTCACCACCCAACACTCCAGCACTCCACTAACCAGGAACTACATTACTGCGTACACCAAGGCCAAGGGTAAGACTGAAGAGTACTGGAGGAGGAATCTTGTCATCCTGGAGATGTATCTGAGCTCTATGACCTACGAACACATTGAAAAACAGCTGGGGTATGAGATCCTGGACCTGTTCTGTGACATCGGTGGAGCACTGGGTCTGCTGCTTGGTGCCAGCCTGCTGACAGTGTTAGAAGTGTTTGACTTCTTGTGTATCACTGCCTTCACGGCGGTGTTTGAAAAGAACAAAATTCATAAGACTGACAGGGGAGACAACTCTAGATAAACCGTTGTCAATGATGACACCAGGTGTTCTGAAAAGGTTAAGCTTGTCCTGCTCTACTGGCAGCACATGACATTCACGCAATTTGCGTGAGTGAATGAGCGCCCTTTGCCAAAGGCTGCACTACAGTCCTGTGGGTCATACAGATATCGCCGTACACCTGTATTAGAACACGTGCATATTGAATATTAAAATACTTGTAACCTGCATTTTGGTTCTGCTTCCGTTATGATGTTTCCAATGTTATTCAATAGGTACAGGACAAACATAACTCACAACCTACGTAATCGGATATTTCCGAAGGAAAACAAACACTTCATAATGACATGGTGTTAGCTTGATCACTGATGTAATATTTGCACAACCCTAGGTCGTTTTTAATTCTTTAACAGACAAAAGAGAACAAACATATTACGGAGGTCAAGCACCAATAACTGATTGCGGACTCTTCAGTGTCATCGACTGCGAAACTGAGAATTGTTCGAAGCTGCTCCCAATCCATTTCACTCAGCCCAGAGATTGTTTAATATTTTCCGTCGCCAGGGCATGACTTCACTTATTTCACACACCCCAATCCAATCCCATAAATTGCACAATGAATAAAATAAACTTCATGTAAAGACCTCAACGTCATGGACATTCTACACATGTTGCAAAAAAGGATGCAGAATGGGCACCTTACTAGGTTGCATGTGAGCCATTGAACATCAACGAAACGTTTATATCTCTCATTGAGAGCATGAGTTTGCTTTACCCCCATGTATACATTGTAGGGGAATACAGTATAACATTGGCCGGAAATATTACAGTTTAAACACGAGAATATTGCCTGCAGTATAATATTTCGGGGCAAAAGTATACTCTATTACCCTGCACACAGGGTTAGAGTAAATATCATTTCTCTTCAAAGATGCCAAATTGAAAACCTTTATTAGAAAAATCATTTAAAGGCGAGATCTTAAACGTAACAGAATCCCATTGATTTCGAATACGTCTCACATTTACATATTTGAATGACAAAGACAGACACACGTGATTAGCGTATATGAAATTACAGAGTTTAATTATTCATGAATGTACATATTTTCTGAAAACTATTTTAATGCTTTAAAGAAATATTCAAAACTAAATTCAGTCATATTACTTTAGTTCAGATAGGGTTAGGGGTTGGAATGGTACAGAGAGGTATATCATTACTACGATCTTGTACGTTTTATGTTATCATAAGAACTTAGGGCCACAAATGTTTACCGTGAAAGAGAACTAAATTTAACTGTTTAGAGTGCTGATAATGTTAACGCAAATACCAATATCATGGAGTGTACTTTTATGCTGCTTTGCTTTGTGGCCATACCCAGTTTAGAACGTTTGAACATTTGAACAAAATTCCACCTAATTGCTTGAACTCTGACGTTAAGAGACAAAGTAAATTTCAAACATAATATAACACGACTATCTTTTAACTAAGTCAAATTTCTTTTCGATTCATTAGAGTATTTATATTGAAGTGACATGTGCATTGCAGACGAATGGATATGTTAAAATTGGAGAAATTGATAAATATGTTTACATTTATACAGTTTTCCGAGCACAGCAATTGTTTTCACGCCAAATAGTTTTTGCTTGATTTGAACACATGGTATTGGTGACAAAGACCATGTGTCATCTTATTGTAAATGTACGAGGAATTCAAGAATGCTTTTTCGAAGCTGAGTTTGAAATTGCTTATCTATAGCCTGTATTTATTTTGTAATGTTCTGTTTGTAGTAAATATTTTAATGCTTACATGATAGTTTTAGATTTCTATCTGTGATAACCTAGTTGTTTTACTGTCATTGTTGTTGACAGATTTTATGAAATAACTTTATTTATTATTAAAATATATATTGTTTTAGTCAAGGTATGGCTGCAATATTGCCAATGTGACTTTAAATCTTAACTCACTCACTGTGTTTCAAATATTCGTGGCGTCATAACTGACATGTATCAAACACAATTTTGTAAACTCTATCCAATAATGGAAGAAAGTTCATTCAGGCGTTGGCGTAGTTTCAAAATATTCTAAGGTTATCAGCGACGTTTCAGAATGATCAATGATATTATGATTTTCCGTACTTCAATTCTGCGAGTAAATATTCATCCGTGCATTTCAGAATATGCAATATTTTTTGTCTGTCAAAAAAGGCGAATGTACCTAGTTTTTAATAATTTTGCTTACCCTACAATGACAGATGATGCTATCAAAGAACAGGGAAATTCCTTCAAAATTCAAAACAGAAAAGAGTAAATATTCATCCGTACATTTGAGAATATGCAATAATTTTCGTATTTTAAAAATGGCGAATGTACCCAATATCTAATAAGTTTGCTTACCAATGACAGAGGATGCTATCATAGAACAGGGAAATTCCTTCAGAATTCAAAACAGGGATGTGCATTTATAATACTTTTCAACTGGAATCTAAATATACTGAGGGAAAAACATAAGGGATCACATGAAAGCACAAGTGTTCTGTATGTTTTTCCAGGTTTTTTCCACAAGCTGTGCGATACAAAGCTTGTGAAGAAACCTTGGAAAAAAATAAAGGAACAATTGTGCTTTCATGTGATCCCTTATTTTTTCCCTCAGTATATATTGGTAAAATTCAAAGATATTTCAAATTCAAATCAATTATTGTCTACAGAAAAATCCAAGATCTCGCGATCGGAAGGTGAGTGAGTGAGAGATTTATCGTCACATCGGCAGTGTTTCAGTCATATCGTGACAAGAGTATGATGTGCATAAATATAAAATATATTTCAACAGTTTAAATGCCTGTCGTCGGAGGACAGTATAACTCATGATTATCACAGTTTTAAAAAACCCTACAGTTTGAAGGCTTTTAAAACATTGTAAACGATCAATTGACAAACACAATATTTAAAATGGGCTAGAGGATCGCTAGCTACGAAAGATTTTCTGCTTTTGTTGTGTTGAGTCCCATCCGGATATGTGATACATTTGGCATTGTGTATTCATAGCTTTCGGCCGAGGGAGCCGTGCGAAGTTTATGTGACTTTCCCATCCTTACGAGGTACCCATTCACAGCTTGGTGGACTGGGACACATGGTCACAGTACTTTGTCCAAGTTTACTGCACGTTGCTGTACCCGCAACTAGGTGTTTGCATGTATTCATGTGGCCACCATCTGGTCATTTACCAACGGATTCGTGGGTTCTTTTAAGTGCACAGGGTTGTGTACTGTACACTAGGGGTTGTAACAACACTGAAAGAGTCTGCACACAAAGTTGACTCTAAGGTTTTTACACCCGGTCACGGGTGGGCTCGATCCCGGCACCTTAAGCTCGCTGGATCACTAGCTTGGCGCCTTAGACAGCTCGCCCACCACGCCCCAGATGCAATTTTATTAAAGTTAAAATTGAAATTTCATTGGCACTCAGTATGAGGTACGATCTCTATGTTCTATTTATGATAAAGACAAGTCACGACAGAATTGTAATCAAGAACACAGTCATTTCAACATAGAATTATTGGAATGTACTTTACTGAGACCTAAATGCATAAAATCCCTTTATTCCCCTACACACACACACCAAAACACACACGCACCACACACACACACACACACACACACACTCACTCACTCACATACCAACCCCTCTACTTATCCCGAGGTCGCATCAGCACCCGAGGACACTGCCAATGCCCTCTCTCTCTCTCTGTGCTGATTGATTTACCATTTCTGAGCAAATACACTGAGCTGTTAGCGAAGCCGTTACCCGACAACTACTAATGCATTCAATCCCACCCAAAATTGATCATTATGTCAGCCATCAAGCAATAAATAATGTCAACATGAAATTGCCATATATTGAAGACATTGCACAATAGAAGCCATATATGTCGACACACGTTCATGTATCACAAGGCTGAACAGTCAGCAATGGTTCAACTACCAACGACCAGTTACAACAGGACGTTCTAATACTTCCCGTGCACAGAGTTTGAAACCTGAAGGCTCGCTACCTTGACCAACGTATCTACTCTTTGGCAATGAGAGGCAACAAACCTTTACACGAGGTGGTGACTGTACAGGGATTATCTCAAATATGTGACGCCAATTCCAATAGATCTAGACGGGTAGTCTGGTTCCTCATTTTTTGTGGCGGACTTGGTTTCACCACTTACAACATCTACAAGCAGATATCTTTATATCTGTCTGTCCCTGTCAACGTGAGTGTGGATCAAATTCTTGACAACACCCTTCTGTTTCCAACCATAACAATATGTAATAACAATATCATTAGGCGTTCACTGCTTGAGAATCTTGGATGGAGCGATGTGTTGCAAGTGACGTATCCATATACTGATTTCAATGAACAATTACCAAACGTTAACCTTAGTCAGTTGGACATCTCAAAGTTGTACCTGGACGGACAAATTACAGTGAACAGCACTTATGGACACACCATTGAAAGCACTTTCCTTAAGGTAGGTATGTACGAACAACGGGTAAGAAAAGAGTGAGTGAGTTTATTTTGATGCCGCACTCAGCAATATTCCAGCTGTGTTCCGGCAGTCGGTAAATAATCGGGTCTAGACCAGACAATCCATTGCTCAACAACACTAATATACTCAATTGGGAAACGATGACATGTGTCGACCAAGACAGCGAGCCACATCACCCGATCCCGTTAATCGCCTCTGAAGATCAATTCTAAACCGTATCTTCACGGATAGAGTAACGAAAAGAAATAGCATGAGTAAAGAACATGAGTGATGATCTATTATGGAAATTATCTTTTTAATTGCTCCTTCTATATATTCACAGAGATATTTTGGACCAATCCTCACAAGCTGACTTGCATTGTAAATGCAAGTAATTTTTATTATCCCCCGATTCATGTACAATTTATGTATTATTACTATTCGAGGCGCTTCATGAAATGTGGAATCAATCTGTACAGTCTAGCTACAATATCTGCGATTTCCTGTGATAAGAAGTCTATTGTTTATAATTTTATTACAAAAACAGATATTTACTGTATTATTTGAATAATGTTTATGAAGTTCTTTAAGGTAAATGTTATATAGGATGAATTTTTAACATTAAATTTTACACATGCA